AGGACGTGACCATGCGGGAAAAGAAGAAAAAAGCGGTGCTGCGCTGCCACGACCTGCTGCTCCAAAACCAGTTTCACGCCTCGCTGTCGACGCTGATGGGTGTGTATCAAATGCAAAAATGTCTGGGTCTGGAAGAATGCAGCTTGTCATGCTAAATCTGAAGCATGCAAAAATCTGTGTTGCATGATTACCAAAAGTCGCCCAGTTTTGATCAAGTCGGGAGCAGGGAGTTTCTCATGCAGGATAGGCATTAGGGAGATCGCACAGACTCTGTCGTGCTAGGTCCTGCATTCCAGACCTCATGGGTCATCGAAAAGCTGCATGACAAGTCGCGCATTCTTCCTGACCCAGACACTTTTGCATTTGATAGTGTGGAAGTGGGGACCCAGGACACGCCGGCGGTGTACATGAAATTTCTATTGAGAGGAAAAGTCCCCCATCCCCATGTCGAAAAGGCATGCTTTCGAAAATTTGTGTTGCTGATTTGAGACCACAAATCACGTCTGTCTTGCAAGAAGACAAACGCAGAGGCTTCCGCGCCATTATGGAAGCGATTTGGCATGCTGTTGGGGCTAGAGGGCAGCCGTTTGTAATGCCAAGCACCTAGACCCAAATGTCCCTCCCTAGGCCGCGCATCTGGCTGCGATGCCGTATTGCAAGACAGCGCGCATTTGTGTACACAAGTCCTGCATCACAGATTTCCCATTTGATATGGGGTGGGGGCTTTTTTCATTTTGATAATTTCAGGACGAAACTTTCCACTTTCAGTTCGACCACGACGCCGCACGGGAAAATTTCCGCCGGGCCCTGGCGTTGGTGCTGAACCAAGAGGACGTGGTGTGGGAAAGGACTTTTCAAGTTTGAGGGTCACGTGGTCCAGCTGTTACGACGAGTAGCTTTTATCATGACAGTATAAAATCAGCACATTGACAATTTAATACGAACGTATCGAAAGTGCAACTACTACCGCTACCGGAATATTCCAATTTTTGAGGGTCGAAAAAAACAGCTTCTGAGGATCGGAAAAAAGAGCCTCTCAGGGTTGCCGGAATCCTGACGCCAGGCTGCGGATTCGCCCCTGCCGAAAGCCTGACCGCCCTGCTTCATCATCGTCGTGAATAGCTAGTAAGAACACGCTTCATCTTCAGCTTCGTGTGGTGTTGTACTGCAAGTGCTGGCGCAACATTATAGCTAAGGGTCTTCGCGATTTGTGAACTAGCTAACCCCTCAGAAAACAGACTAAAAAAAGGCCGAACGTTGGAAGCCAATCCGCCCGGGCCTATCGCTCCCTCTGGCCCCACCTCAAGGTCGGCGAGGTGCTCGATATCGTCCTCGGGAACAGCTAGCATCTCCTCCAATATCAGCGTGGCCAGTGCTTTCTCGTGGATGGCCCAATCCGCGAGCTTCGCGTCTCCGAACCGCCGCGCAGTGACGACACTGATCAGCCGGGAGCCTAGTAAGTTTTTACTTTTGCAGCTGTCGAAGAAGATGCTGGGCCGCCCTCTGGTGTTTGGTGTTGCTCGTCGGGCCTAGTGTCACGGGGCCAGCGGCTTCCTTTTCTGGGGGGATGCGCCGGATTTTCGCCCGACAAAGTCCAGGGCTGGGGACTCACTCGCAAAGGCTGGAGAGGTGGCGCGTTGGCTGTTAGCTTAGTTCACCTGGTGGCGACTATTATGGCGATCGGGCTCTTGATCGTCGCGCCGGGGGACGGCCGGCCCACAACCCCGGCCGAAACAATCGCGAGCCCGAACCGACAGAAAAACGAAAGCACAGCGCCAGCATATTTGTGCGGGATTCTGATGATATATATACGCATCATCGTCGTCATATTTGTGCACGAATCTGATGAATATACTCGGAAAATAATAAATATATTAATATATTCCGGCCGTCTGACCAGGCTCGAGTCCGAGCCTCGCCACTTTTCTGGAATTTATTCGCTTTTTGTTGGTTTTTTTGTCGACTTCTGGCCCGGTAGTAAAATCGCCAAAATCGCCGACACCATGCGGGCTATCTTTCTACTCCCGACATTTTCAACGAGTGGAAATATTACAGAAATATTAAAAAAGTAATTAACTTAATATATTTATTCCCAAGATAATAAATATATTCGCGGGGAATATTTTTTTAATCACGAAAGCCGTCAGCTTTTGCTATGGTTTTGGTCGGTAGTAGAAAGAGAACCACCACGGTGCTGCTGATTTTTGCGAATTTGCTACCGATTCAGAAAGTCGACAGAAATACGCCAGAAATCACAACAAGCGCCGGAATATTCGAAAATAATAAAGCTATACCATTTTTGAATATTTTCCTTCATGGCGCGCGTCGGTAGTAGAAACAGAACCCGCATGGTGTGGACGATTTCGGCGATTTTGCTACCGAGCCCAAAACCAAAGCCAAAGCGTGCGACTTTGTTGGTTTTTTTTAAAAAACTGTCGCGAGGCTCGTGCACGAGCCTCGCACGAGCCTCGCGGATATAGTATCTCAATACTTTCGGCATATTTCTGGCGAATATAATTCGACCACTTTCGAGCTCGGGCGAGAGCTCTGGCGGATATAATGAATTCGACTACTTTTCGAGTTCGGCCGAGAGCCAAAAGGATATACGTCGCGAAGCGGTTCGCCCACTTTTTGAGCCTCGGCGGGAGCCAAAGCAAACAAGTCACGGCCGAATAGCCGGCCCAAAAGGTCGGCCCGGGAGCGCCTCTTTGTGGCGACGCGGCCGGCCGATGAAATGAGTGGGGCTGCGTGCCGCAGGGGAGTTGGGTCCCCACCCGGGCCGCCGCGCCATCTGTCTTTCCTCCTGCTCGTCCTAATCTTCTTGCCCAGGGCCAGAAGACCAGGGCCGCGACGAGCAAAAACTAGTGCTACGGATGGCGCTAGTAGTCAAAAAGCACCGCTGCCATGCAGCAAGATAGAAGTAAAAGTAAAGCAGTACTGTGCTCCAGCGCCTTCGTCAGCGAAGCTTCTCCAGTTTCCAGCTCGACGGCTTCGCTGTTGTCGGAAAGCTGGCGCAGCTCGATCTTCCTGATCAGCCGCTTCCTGGCGGCGTCGTACCCTCCGCGGAGGTTGGCTGGGACCAGAGCGATAGTCCCGGGCAGATTGGCTTCCGTCGTTCGACCTTTTTTGCGCTCCTTTTCTGAGGGGTTACTTAGCTAGTTCACAAGTGAAGACTTTAGACCCTAAACCCTAAACCATTTAGCTATAACGTGCCAGCGCTTGCCGTTCTTCTTGTATATCAAAGGACAACGCACGAAGATGATGATGAAGCAGTGCGGTCTTCAGGCTTTCGGGAGGGTCGGATCCGCAGCCTGGCGTCGGGATTCCGGCAACCCTGAGAAGCTTTTTTTTTGGATCCTGAGCGGCTGTTTTTTTCGACCCTCAAAAATTTGAATATATCGGTAGCGGTAGTAGTTGCACTTTCGATAGAACGCGAACCGATTCACTTTCAAGAGTTTGATTTGATTTCCGTAGCAGAAGCAGCTTTATATATCGTTATCCGTAGCAATAGGTCGATACATATANGAACGCGAACCGATTCACTTTCAAGAGTTTGATTTGATTTCCGTAGCAGAAGCAGCTTTATATATCGTTATCCGTAGCAATAGGTCGATACATATAGAAGTACTTACTCGAGAAGCAGAGCAGAGGTACTTCCAACGCGAATTATCCCACAATAATTTGTCGTACGCATATGCAGGGCGAGAAGTATGATTCATGGGCGCCCCACCCTGCTGGTGCCTGCGGTCTCTATCTTCTGCGAATCAGCTGCTACGTGTTCAAGGGATCTGTCGCAGCGTAATATCGCAGGCTGCAGCAAGGAGCACCTGTCGTACTCTAATGCCTGCTCCGCCACTTTTTCATTGAAATTGTGCAAAAGATCTCTTTGTCAAAAAATCGTGCTATCACAGCTTTTTCTATCGAAGGTTGCAGTGCTTCGCTGCAGTAGCAGGTGGAGCACCAGTACTAGCTGTAGTGTCACGTGGCCCCGAAGAACCGTTCAGCCGCTTGGAGATACGAAACTACTCGGAGTCCTCACTGCCACTTGTTACTTTCACGAAACTCCTACATGGAGTCACTTTCAGTAGCATTACCACCAATTCGTATTCGTACGCAGCTGCGACTGCGAGATCCGGTAGTGGTTTTTGGCCATCCCTTGTCGTCCTATAATCGTTCAAATTTTTCCAGTTTCCAATCGTCCACTATGTCGTAACCGTAGGCGTTCGCGGTTTCTTCTTTCGTTCACTACACATCTGAGAAGCTGAAATCGTCTTCCGTTACTTACTACAAACATGAAGACGTTGATTGCACAAGTTAGGTAGTCATCAAGAACGTTCCATCGTTTTCCAGCATTCGCATTGAAAAAAAAAAAAAATGAATTTCCTACACATCAGGACGCCCCCCACATGCGTGGCTACGAACAAACTTGGAGTTTATCTTCCGCCACTTTATGTATTTTACACGAGGTCGAGGACCCCTTCGTATAGCCTATTTCGCATTCATAATTGTTTCATGCGACTAAACAAAACTTGAACGATCGCTATTCTATTTTATCCCTGCTCGACGCACCAGCACTGGTCGTACCGGTAGGCGAAGAACGTGTGCGTATCTGGACCTGGAGCAAGAAAATGACGACGTTCTTCATGTGCTCACGGTTTACTTGGTTCACCGGTTCCGGTTGTTCCGTGTGGTGGATCGTGATCACCGGTTCATTCGTGATCATGATAATCGCGCGCCATCATGGCTTTTCTGATGCTGCGACTGGTACATGATGAGTAGTCCGAAAGTATTCGTGCGCAGCTACGGGGTGCAACTTAGTTCCGGAGTCTGAATGTCGTGGTTTTCTGGCCGCCCCTTTTCGTCCTCTCGTTCAAATTTTTCGTTCAGTTTCCAATCGTCCAAAAACGCGAATGTTTCGTAATCGTTCGTGATTTTTCTTCTTCCTTGTTCACTACGTTTCTTAGAAGCTGAAATCTTGTCTGCATTTACTGCGGACGTGAGTAGATTGATTGCTCACGATGTCAACTAGTTTTTATCAACGTTCCATTTTCTTGTCAGTGACAAGCGCTAGCCTTCGCATTGAAAAAAAAGTTGAATTTTCTACACATCAGGACGAACCCCCGAGTGGCTACAACTAACTTGGAGTTCAAATTTTACCACTTTGTAGTTTATGTTACACGTTCACGCGGCGGTGTAACCGTATTTCTATTTTTTTCATCCGGTTAAAGCAAAACTTGAGCAGCTGCTATTCTAAGTAAGTGTTTTATCCCTCTCCGCGTCACTGGTCGTATTAACCGTAGGCGAAGAACGTAACATCTTGAGCAAAATGACACCCTTCTTCATGTGCTCAACACGGTCTACCAGGTTCACCGGTTGTTTCGTGTGGTGGATCGTGATCACCGGTTCATTCGTGTGGCGCGAGGAGGGGACATATCCTGAGTAAAAACGTACCCACACCAGAGTCAGGGTGGGGATTTTGCAACACAACCCTAGGAGTTTGGTGAGTCATGCATGACAAGTTGCACTATGCAGTGTAGTGCAGGTTAGCAAGTGCAGCCGCATCACAGATTCGTCTGCTCATCCTGTTCACAGCATCACAAATTCCAAAACACGATTGGAAATGGCTCTCATGGGGATGCGCATTACAAGTCTTCCTCTCTTTGCAAATCTGCATTACAACTCTGGTGTGGGTACGTTTTTACTCAGGATACTCACGGTCTGCTGGTTATGTCACCAGTTGTTTCGTGTG